ATATAAAAATTATAAAGAATATAGAGTTTATGATGTTTTTAGAGTTTATAAAGATTATAAGAATTATGAAAATTATAGAAATTATAGAAATTATGGAAATTATGGAAATTATAGAAATTTCCAATTGTAACAATATTCAATAATGCATAATTAATGCATAATTAATACAAATATTATAGTGTGAATTTATTTATTAAAATTAATTAATGTATAATATTTTATTAATAATAAACAAGGAACAGTTTATTAACTAGCTAGATTTTGTAGTGATCAATTAATGATTTATTTGAGAATTAAAACTTTTCATTATATAGCTAATTATTTTATCATATATATTACAGTTCTTTACAATATATTACATCTTATTACAATATGTTGCAGAATATTACAACATGTTACAAAATATTACAACATGTTATTAAACATTATTATATATTATATATTACTGAATATTACAATACATGAAAAAATGTTATGTAGATTTGTCATGTGAAAATAATAAAAGAATAAATTATAATAATAATAATAAGTGATAATAATAATGATAAATAATAATAATACTAATAATAATAATGATATATTTTAATTCATAATATTACTAAAGATGAAATCACAATTGGTTGCAACTTGATTGCAATTTTCTGATTGGTTATTATAATTTTCTGATTGAATATTACAAGTTACAATTAATTAAGATATTATCTTTAATTATTACTATATTCTGAATTAATTTAAGTATAAAATTAATATTAAAAAGTATATTATAATTAAATTCAGTATATTATTATAGTTCAATAATAATATTATCTTTTTTCTTATATAATTGTTGGAATTTTTTAATAATTTTATCAATTTTTTCTAAATTTTTAATGATTATATTAAAAAATATTATATTATATGAGTTTTGATAAAAATAAAAATCAAATAATTTATATTTTTTTATTCATTCTTTTGTTCTTAAAAATAAAGTTAACATAAAATAAGTTATATAACAAACAATATAAAGTTGTTAAAATTTAATAAAAATTCTTTTTATAACTAATATTATAGATATTTAAGCAAATAATATAAATAATCAAATAAATGATGCATGAAATAAGATTTTGAATTCTTATATAATCTTAATATTACTAATTAAGTTATAGAGTACTTTATTCAGAATATAAAAATATATATTAATATTATTAATGAGTCTGCTATAATCAAAGAATTTCTTGAAAATGATGAAATTATTAATTTAATTTAATCTAATACTATAATAAAAAATAATAATGTATAATTAAATTCTAATAAAAAATAAAGAATCTCTTTTATCTTTCATATTTATATCTGAAATATATAATGCATTAAAAATTTTGATCATATTTTATAAATAACATGTACTAAAAATCATATTAAATAATAATAAGATTAATATATTGTGTAAAAAGATATTAATTTTTGAAGTAATACAAATCAAAGCAAAAAATAAATAAATTTAAATGCTTGATAAGTTAATAATATGTAAATAATTTTTATATAATAATTATATTTATATTTTTTATAAGATAATTATATTTTTTTATATAATAATTATATTTGTATTTTTATATAATATATATAATTATTTTAGTATCTTATAGTTATAATTTTTTGTCAAGTATATTATTAATATTAATAAAATTATATCAACATATAAAAAATATATATTAATACTTAAATACTAAAATTATTAAAATTTCTATATAAAAACTTTATAAATATTCTATATAAAATATTTTTATAAAGTAATATTTTTTTATAAAAATATCTTTATATAAGAACTAAAATTTTTGGTTCAATTATATTCTTATAAAAAGTTTTGATTATATAATTAAATTCTTTTATAATTATTATTTTCAGAAAAGCAAAATTTAATAATTATAAAAAGATTTTTTTATTATATTTATATATATAAATAGATGTAATTATAAAAAAGTTTGACTATAAATACAAAATTTAATTTATAAATATATTATGAATTAATTTGTATTTATTTTTTAGTCAAAAAGTTATATATTTTATATTATAATAAAGTTATTTATTTATGAAAAAATTATTATAAAAATTATTTACTATATTTAAAAAAAAAGTGTAAATTACCAATTTTAATCTAAAAATAATAAATAAAAAATCAAATTAATAAAATTATATATATAATTTCATAATTTTATTAGTTATTATATATTTATTTTTTAAAATTTTTCAAAATATATATTTTTTTAAAAATAAAATCTTTGTTTGTATATAATTAGATTTTATAAAGTTAATTACTTGTTTAATTTAATATTTATTAATCAAAATAAATAAATAAATAAATATATATATATATATATATATATTAACTCTTTATAAACAAAAATTCTATTCTTAACAAATTTATCAAATATTAATACTATGTGTTTTTTTGATTTATAGATTTTATTGAACTTATATTATATTTTTAATGTAATATAGATGGATAATACTACTAATAAATAAAAAATGCTAAAAATTCAATATTTTTAAGAAATTAATTTTTATATTTTTATAATAAAATTAATTATGATCTACTATATAATTTTTGTTATAAGTTATATATATATAATATAAAATATTTTAATTTAATAATATAATAAATTATTTTTAAAAATCTTTTAACCTTTTATAGAAATAGAATTTAAAAAAACTAAATAAATGTTATTGTTTTTTGAAATAAGCTATAAATTACCAGTCAGATTTTAAAAAAAGTTTATATAAAAAGTTATAAGCATTTAAAGTTAGATGATTAGTCCAAAATTGAAACAAATCATGTGATCTAATTTGATTGATTAGTATTATTATTGTTAAGTTATACTGCGTCACATTATTACGTCCTAAATCTCGATAAAATTGGACATGTTCAATTTGTCCTCGAAAATTCTGCAATTTTTGATCCAGCAAAACAAATCCGACGCAAGAAAATGAAATGTTAAAAGCGGATGCCTAAATTCTTGGTACACTAATTAAAAATGCCCCCCGGGGGGGGGGGGCAATTTTACATACAATCTTAATTTTTCAACAATCTTTAACGTTACCAGGTGCGCAGAATTTTTCGAGGTGAGTTTAGTGACAAACACATGATCTGATTTGTGAATAAAATAGTCACGTGAATCTCTCGAAAAGCTAATCGTTATTTCGATAATGTAAAATTATGACGATCTTTTTCTCGAATGAAGGGAGTAAGCATAAATCTCAAAGTGGTTTTTCACTTAATTTTATATTAATTGGCTAATTTTTCCCAATTAGCAAAAATCGAATGATTAGTGTGATCCTGCACATCAAATTACAATAAAATTTCTTGATAAATAAATGAAAACTAGCTTGTGTAGAATTGAGTCTAGAACGAGTAGAAAGAAATGACAATAATTAGCCGTAGTTTTCTGTAGTTCTCTAGAAGCTTACAGATTAATCTGTTTGTGTCAATTCCATTTTTTTCGTTTCCTTTAATCTATCAAGAATTTTATTTGCTCCATTATTAATCAAAATATCAGCCACACGTTTTCCAAGGATATTAGCAGCCTCTACACCGCCACCATCTTCATCGGTATCTACATCTTTCTCTGCTTCTGCCTCAACAACTTCCGATCCATCAAGACTAGCGACTAGCGCACTTAATCTCAACACCCGCTTTTTTCTAGCACTTAGTTGTTCGGATTTACCACTATTACTATCATGGGTTTCGATAAGTTGAGTATACACCCCTATTGGAACACTACACCCACCCTCAAGGATCCGTAATAAGGAACGCTCGGCTGTGCATCGTAATCGTGTATCTCGATCTTCTAATACCGCAAGCATTTCCTGCAGTTGTGTGTCGTCAGCGCGACATTCCACTGCCAGTGCACCTTGTCCGACTGCGTGAAGAATAGTGGTTTTCTCGAGAATTTGTGATACTCGATCACTCCAACCTAATCTGACTAGACCAGCTACTGCAAGGATAAGAGCCGAGTATACCCCTTCGGGAGCATCTAATTTAGTGAGGCGCGTGTTTCTAATATGGCATAAAAAATAAATAATGAAATAAATGTGTCAATTGAACAACCTTGATCAACTAAATACTTACAAGTTACCACGCTGTTATAATCAATCGTCAAGAATCCAAAAATTGTTTAATACCAATATCACAATCATTAAAACATTTTAACCATTTCATTTCTTACCACATCCTGAAACACCAAATGCGGAAATTTTCTCTTTAATTGTGCCACGCGTCTAACACTACCAGTCCCCACAACACTCCCGCTTGGCAAATCCTCGAGTTTTTTCGCTTCAAGACCTTTCTTTATCACCACCGCATCTTTAGGGTTCTCACGCCGTAGTATAGCACCCACGGACATGCCCTCCGGCAGGGAAGTCGGTAAATCTTTAAGACTATGTACCACCAAATCCACAGTTCTTTTTTCTAGTGCGATTTCTAGCTCTTTTGTGAATAGAGATTTTTCGCCAATTTGATATAAGGGCTTCGAGAGGATTTTGTCACCTATTGTGGACATTGAGATTATTGGAAACGAGAAGTGCGGGAATGCAGCTTTGAGCTCATCGTGGACTTGTTGTGTTTGTATCAAAGCGAGTTGTGATTTTCGACTGCCGATAGTGAAGGATTGTTTTGTTTGAGAGGACATGTTAGTTTGAAATTTTTTTATATATTATAATGAAGTGCCATTCGTATAAATAGCGAAATATTTCATTATTTGAAACATATTAATTAGCTCGTCGATCTTATGCTCGGAAATATTTACTCCACCGAAATTATTCCAAATATAGTGTATTTAAAATTTAGAAATTAATAAATTAATTAATAATTGCATCATAAATTTATTTGAAAACTAACGATAGTACAATTATTGCCATCATGAATTATTGGCCTTTTTTTCTTTCCAATAACATTTATGACACATTGACTCGCCAAGAATACGTCCAAATGTTAATGGCGAGAAAATTTGAGGGAATTTGGTCCCATGGACCTTCTTCACCCCAAGATCCTTGCAACTTAGGAAATTCTCTTGTTGCTCTTTGTCCCGAGGCCACCACATTGGCGACGCATTAGTGCCACATTTCGCGCAAACTGTTGGTGGTGGGCGAGAGAAACCAGAGGATCCAACATTTGGGGGTGACGCTGGTGATAAACATGTCATGGATGGTGATGTTAATGAGAAGGATAATGTGGAGAATAAGGAAGGGGATGGTGAGCGTGTTGAAGCCTGAATTGGAGATGGCATATCATTGGCAAAAATTAAATCTCGAAATCGGTAGCGTCGCCTTTCTTCGGCCCCTTGGAATTGAAATTGTTTATGTATTCGAATGAAAGTATATATGGCCGACTAAAAAATCATCATAATTCGTAATTATTAAAAAATGCTCGAAATTAAATAAAATATAAAAACTTACAAAGTTATCATTAATCCCTCTATCACTTAATTTTACAAATGTTGCCAAAGATGTCTTGTGATTCTGGCAAAATATCTTTGGTGACAAATCTCCATCCATCCCATTGCCAAAGTCTATTGGGTCAACATCGGACTCTATTTTTTTCTTGGGTATAATTTCAAAACAAATCTGACAAGTAGATTGTTTTTGAACACATGTTACGTGAAAGGCAGTCTGGCAACCGTCATGAGCACAATTTAACGTGGCACCACCTGTTTTTTTACATATAAAGCAAATCTACGAATGTATATGGAATTATTATATGCATTAGTAATGAAAAACTTTAAATACTTGTATATGTACCATTTTCCATGAGATTTCGTCTACATTCATAACATCTTCTATCATGCTAACAGACTCTGCGTCTCGAAAAGACACTTGAGGGAAGAATGCAGCGCATATAACATGACACCAATTATAACCAGCTGTTCTTTTCATCGCATTATTTTCCCCTTCAGGTAGAGCGCAAAGAACACATTTACAAATCTAATTTTATTATCAAAATAAATTTAGTTATATTAGTATGTAATTTTCAGTTAATGGTGTAAATAATGAAGAATTTATATACCTTTGCTACTTTTGGATTCTTTCTATTGAGACAAGGATCACATCTCCAGATTGATGGTGTGTCTTTATAGCCAACTTGACCATAGCAATCTTTTGTCAAGGAGAAAGTGATGAGTATTTATTAATAGTTAGTAGATGAGATATGCGCCTAATAGTAAATTACCAGAATGTACACATAAATTGCAATCATGACATGATAGAAGACGAGACATCGGTCTTAAACCACCGCATATTTTGCATTCTGACTTTGGTATAGGTAATGATGGACAAATCATAGTCCTTGCGATAGAATTAGTTGGAATTGATTTTGTATCTCTAACATTTTCTTTCTTCTCGCCCTCAGAGCTATAATCACTTGGAGAGTTTTCCGAATTTTCGGAGGATAGTTCGTCGTCGGAATCGTTGATATTCCAACGTTTCTCTTTTTTTACTGAACCCTCGTCGTTTTGTGGTTGATAATGGTCTTTACTAGATCCTGCAGGTTGTGCAAATTCATTTTCGTTAATATTATTTAATCTTTGTAATATTTTTCTTGAACGAGCCTTCTGTCGTATTGCCGATTGAGATAATGCCAAAATTTCAGGTGGCCGTCTTTGCCTTTCCGATCTTCGAGGTGATGATGCACTTAAAGCTCGTACACTAGGACCTTTATACTCATCATCCTCATACTCAGTATCTGAATTTGCCTCTGAGAAGGAATCCAAATCAGAAGAATCCTCAAATATATCTTCATCGCTTGTTCCTTTAGAAACTACTCTTTTACTTTTAGTTGACGCTGAATGTACCATTTGTACGCTTTTATCTAAAGAATTCTTTGGCTCGACTTTTTTATACACAATCTCATTAGATGTTATGTTCTTTGGTTGTGCAGATTCATCTTCAGAAGAAAGCAATAAATCAGAGTCTAAATCTGATATTTCACCTTCTAGTAAATCCATAAGATCGTCGTCTACTGATAATTTTGTCAGAGGATTTTGGGATTCTTCTACTTTAGGTTTGTTTACATTTTCATTTGGCATCTGAATTTTTTCAATTATGCTATTTCCTTCAATTACCACCTCCACACGAAAAAGCGCCTTTCTCTTGAGCATGTCTAGTTCTTCTTCCCCCGATAAAACTTGTTGCTTTAATGGTTGGACATATTCAACAGATTTAGAAGTTGAAACAGTATCCACTTGAATTCCTTGTGATGAATCTTGATGTTGCTGTACTTCCGTGACGCTAGTTTGAGTTTCTTGATTTTCAAGTTTTGAGCGTTTTTGAATAGGTCCTTGTTCACGATCCCTCTTTAAACTCTTCAATATTGTCGGAGTTTGTTCGGAGATAGAAGGAAAAGAAGAATTTTGTATAACTGCGTCATTTATTGAGATCTCTTTACTTTGGGATTCCATTGTATTATTACGATGTTAACGTTAATTATTCTAAAGAATATAAAAATTCATGACTCATCCCTTATATAGAATCACCTGACTTTGAAATATGTCTCGAGAAAAGCTGAACATACCAAAATAAGAAAGGAGAATTTACCATTGTATTAAATGATTGGGAGATCTGCGACTAGCGCAACGTTAATGGTTTCTCGATCAAAAAATTTATATTTTGAAAACCTAACCCTCTTAAAACCAAAAACCCGAAGTTGATTCTATTGTAAATCCCCGAATTTACTAGATAAACCGAATTTTTTACATATCGATATGTTTAGAAATCTAATAAGCTTCAATTAATTATTTAAATGTGATCTTTTATTTTTTATCACCATTATCGGATTCCAAGATGCGTGCTTATCGGAGTAGACTGTAAATGAAATTAAATTTTAATTGAATGTATTTGTAACAAGGACATGAGTTAGGGTTAGGGTTAAGATTCTGGATATGTGATTGGTTAATATTGAAGCTACATGTAATAGTTGTTACAATTAGATTGATCCATAAAAAAATATATGTATTTTCAATATTTAGTTATTATTTTTATTGGTAATAACACTTATAATAAAATAACAACAAACACTTATATTTTAAATTTAATTATTTAATATAATGTATTTTTTTTATTATATTTGTATTCATAACAATAATTTTTTCTATTATTTCTAATATTTTATTTATTATTGTTCCGTCGCATTAGAAACAATTATAAGATTACAAAAAAAATTCAATATCACAGATATGATTTTCTAAATTTTATTGTTTGATCAATAATTTTACATTAAAGTAGAATAAAGATCATTTATGACAATTTGTAAAATTATTTGTTTTTTCTGATGATAAATTACTGCTTTAAAGCTATAAATAAGAACAGCTATGAACTGATTGGCTTGATCTTAAACAAATGCAAAAATTTGTAGGATAATTTGATTAAATGATGATGATAATGTCGCAGAAACTCTTTATAAATAAAAGATTCCCGTGCATAATATCATCATCATCAAAAACGCGATTTTACGCAAGTCTGCCAAAAACACCCGATTTTTCAGTAATTGAGAAAAAATGGATACAGAAATGGAAAGAACAGAAATTTAATAAAAATCCAAATACTAATACTAATACTAATAATAATGATAATGGTGCTCGATTGAAAAATTTATCGTTGATATCTCCTGAGAAATCAAACAAATTTTATGTTTTGAGCATGTTTCCGTATCCTAGTGGCTTTTTACATATGGGACATGTGCGTGTGTATACTATAAGTGATACTATTGCAAGATTTAGAAAGATGCTTGGATATGAGGTGAGATGATGATGATCGGTCTTTTTTTTGTTTTTCTTTTTAGAACATTTAAAAATGTGATGTCGTAAATGCTTCGCTTAAAGGTGATTCATCCTATGGGATGGGATGCGTTTGGGTTACCAGCTGAGAATGCAGCGATAGAACGTAACATTCATCCTGTCAAATGGACGACAAAGAATATCGCAGTAATGAAAAATCAGATGGAAAAAATGTTGACGGATTTTGATTGGGAAAGGGTGAATAATTAATGTCTACGGTTTATTCTAGTTTAATAGACTCGCACATATCCATAATATTTTTCTGGGTGAAATTATTGTTACATAGGAAATCACCACTTGTAAACCTGACTACTACAAATGGACGCAATACCTTTTTCTTCAATTATACAAAAATAGATTGGCGTATCAAAAAGAAGCTATTGTCAATTGGGATCCTGTTGATAAAACTGTGTTGGCTAATGAACAAGTAAATTAATTATATTAAGGTCCATTTAGAATTTCTTATCTATCATTTTTATTTGTAGGTAGACGCTGAAGGAAACTCATGGCGATCTGGAGCTAAAGTTGAACATCGTAAATTGAAGCAATGGTTTTTTAAGATTACCGATTATGCTGAGGTATCATTTAATTCCGTGTATTTTCTTTGGTTGTATTTAAAAGTGTTAAGTGACTAATTATTGCTTTTAAATATAGCAACTTTTGGCAGATTTAGAGTTATTGAATAAATGGCCCGACCATGTCAAGCAAATGCAGAGAAATTGGATCGGAAAATCTGAGGGTGCGGAATTTGATTTTCCAATGGTATTTATAAAATATAGAAACTGTTTATGCAATTTATGCTATGGGAATATTAATCAATCGATAAATATTCCAATAAAATTAGAAATCGAAAAATAACTCAATCCCACCCCTCAAAGTATTTACAAGTCGCCCTGACACGATATTTGGAGTGCACTATTTAGTAGTATCATTAAACCATCCGCTTCTGTCAAAAGAGTAAATGTCTTCTCGTCTTTTGAACATATGTATGAATATGTATGATCTTATCTTTGAATATTTTTATTTCTCTTTGACGCACAAGATATATTCCACAAGAAAATCATGCAAAAGTTTTTGATTTTGTGGAAACTGCTAAAGGACAAGAAGTAATTGAAAGAATTGGAGATAATAAAACTAAGCAAGGTAAAATTTTTTATCACAAAAATTCGCTCCACAAAATCATCGATTATTGAGACGAGTACTTGAAATTTGGAATACCAGGAATTCACACAGGTCTTTACGCGACTAATCCTTTCACCGGAGAATCGCTTCCAATCTACGTTTCGCCTTATGTCTTGTCTGATTATGGAAGCGGCGCTGTAATGGGAGTTCCTGCTCATGATAAAAGAGATTGGGAATTCACTTCGATCAATAAGATTGCCAATGATAATGAAATTAGAAGAGTAGTTGAGCCCTTGAGTATCGAAAAAGGTACCAATAATATTAAAAATCATGATTTAATATATCATTGAAAAGAATCTTTTTTTGACTATGTATTTATGAATACGTATTGCAGACAAAACTGAAAACCAAGTTTACACAGGATATGGAATCCTAACATCCGAATCTGGTGCATATAAAGGATTAAAAACTGTTGATGCGATGCAAGCTATTGTGCGTGATGCCCAAAAAGCAGGATTTGGACGTTGGGTGACGCAGGTGTAGTGGATTTTTTTTTATTACGAGAAGTTCAATTTATTTTATAGGTGATGAGTTATTTTAATTGTTATTTCAAAACTAGTATCGACTTCGAGACTGGCTGTTATCTCGACAACGTTATTGGGGAACACCGATTCCCATGATTCATTGTGAAAAATGTGATGTAATAATAATAAAAATATTTATATAATTACCATCCTTCTTCAATGCATGCTTATTATATATATAATATATCCAATACTTTTGCATATTAAGGTTGTTCCAGTACCAGAATGTGAATTGCCGGTACTTTTGCCTTCCAATGTTTCATTTACTGGTCGCGGCGAATCTCCGCTTAAACAAGACAAAGATTGGATGAATTGCAAATGTCCAAAGTAACGTAAATTCATATTTCTGATGACACTTTTTATATATTTTATTTCAACAACAAAGATGATGATGATATTTGTTTATTAGGTTGTCGTATTAAAATAATAATAATAATAATTGCAGATGCCACGGTCCTGCCACGCGAGACACTGACACCATGGACACTTTTGTTGACTCGTCTTGGTATTTCCTGCGTTTTGTTGATCCGAAGAATTTGATGGAGTTGAGTGATTATAAATACATATTACATCCTTCTATGATAATGTAGATATCTTGTTTATTGATTTTTTGATTGTTTAATAGACCCTTCTCATCTAGTATAGCATCAAGTCTTTTGCCTGTTGATGTATACGTCGGTGGTGTAGAACACGCAATCTTGCATTTGTTATATGCAAGATTTTTTTCAAAGTTTATGCTACATCAGAAAATGTATGACGAGAATGAAAAGAGGCAACCGGGAAATGGAGAACCTTTTAAAGTTTTAATAACACAAGTAAGTCATCGATGATTATCCTTTTCGCATTAACGATATTTAAATTACTTATTAAACTTGTATTAACATATATTATATAGGGCATGGTTCAAGGAAAAACATATAAGGATCCAGTCAATGGACGCTTCTTAAAACCAGAAGAACTTGATTTTTCGAGTAAGAATTTGTCAATGCAATCACATTCATTTTTAAAATTGAATCACAAAAGCACTTATTTTTATGTAATAGGTCCTGGTGCTCCAGTTCAAAAATCTACCGGTCAGCTGCCCATAATTTCATTCGAGAAGATGTCCAAACGCAAATACAACGGTGTGGATCCTGAAGTAAGGCAATACATAAATTTTCAATTTCTCAATCCCTGATTCTTACAATATCAAATACAAACATTCAGGCAATAATTGAGAAACACGGCGCCGATTCAACGCGATTATTCATTCTTTTCAAAGCACCCGTTTCGGAAATACTCGAATGGGATGATTCTAGCATTATCGGTATGCAACGATGGCTTAATCGTGTATGGAGACTAATTGAACTCGTGCTTGAGGATTCAAAAAATAATACAAATTCTGAACAACATGATTTAAGTGTCGACAACATGAATGAGCAAGATATAGATACTTATCGAATTATTAACTTGACAGTAAAGGAGGTATTTAATTCATTTTTTCGCACTTAGAAGATATTCTCTTCAAAGACTGTCAATTAAATTAAATTATTTTTGGTAGGTGACGAATGCGCTTTCCGAGACATATACACTAAATACAGTTGTCTCGGATTTAATAAAGCTTACAAATCACCTCAACAATAGTATCACTACTTCTCATTCTCGTTCCCCTTCTAATAAGAATAATAAAGAGACAAATCTCGACTCCGACACATCATCATCATTATCTCCGGTTTTTGTTTATGGCGTTGAAACTCTGGTCAAGCTTCTTGCGCCGATGGCACCAAGTTTCGCTGAAGAGTCCTGGGAATTTTTGAAAAAAAGATACGATAACAACAAAACTCGAAGTATTTTTGAGGAATCATGGCCAAAAATAGATTCGACCTCATTTTCTGTGAATAAAGTCAATTGTGCAATACAGGTAAATAATTAGAAATCCGATCTTTGTATGATCAATATTAAATTTTGTTTACTGAAATACTTTGTAAAAAAGATCAACGGAAAAACAAGATTCGTTCTCGAAATCCCAACAACCATCATCAAGAATCAATCAGCTGTCGAACAATTGATTCGTGATTCTAGTGAAGGGAAAAAATGGGTAAATGGTAAATATGCCAATAAAAAATTGTCTCGTGTAATTCATGTTAGTGGTGGTAAGCTTGTCAATTTTGTTTATGAAAAATAAAATTACTTTTGTTGTTTTTATTATGTTGAATTAAAAAAAATACATATTTTAATATTCATTAATAATGAAATTGTATATAGAATTAGAAAGAAATGAATCATGATTGAGTGACCAAGATTTTAAATGATAAATGCAATCTGATGTATTTTAAGAATCTTATTTATTTGTTTATTTTGAAACATCAAGTCTTGTCTAAATAAATATCAGATTGAATAATAAAATAAATAATAAATAATCAATAATTTTACATATAAAAATTTTATGTCATTACACACATATTGTAACTATATGCTATCACTGGAAAAGTGGAACTTGCAGATTCTTAAATTTTACTTATAAATAATTAATTTGGACTCGTTTGACTCTAAGTTATATGCTGGCATCGTAAAAGTCATAAGCACAATATTCAATTGAATCAATAATGGTCTTTCTTAGATAAGCTAGAAGCATGAAAATTTATATTATTTGTCGTGGAGATTTAAAAAAATATTTCATGATCTCATGACAATCAATTATTGTAATTATTATATGTAGTAAAATTAAAAATAATAGAACAAACTTTTATTTCTTTTCAATGAGCATGCCAAGTGCATTGCGCTTAACCACTTTCTTGCTTGTGATTTTGGCGGTGCGCAAACTTGCTGTTGTGCTACTAATAGTATCAGCACTACTTTTTTCACTTTTGACAGTTGTCGTCGTCCAAGATTCCTGAGATTTCGGAAAAAATATTTGAAAAAAGTAATTAAAACCTGAAAGCCACGACGACATTTCGGAAAAAAAGAGCCTACGTTTTCATCTAATTTTGACTTTTTTCTGGAATTTGTTTGTGATGAGGATTTTAGGCTGCTAGTAGACGTAGTGGTGATTTCTGATTCATACTCGATCCTTTGATGTTTTAGTTTTTTATGGGCTTAAAAGGTCAATTTGTCAATACGTGGATTTATATTTATATATTATATATACCCGAAATTGGAAATTTTCGTGCCATACCTAATGGTTGTTGCTCATTTATTGAATTTTTACTGGTGTGAACCGATAATCGATCCAGATAGATAGATGTAGTGGATGAAGAATTTCGCTCGGCAGTTTTCTTGACATCTACTTCATTCTATAGATATATGAGGATCGGGAACAGTTCCACAAAAAATACGATTGACGTAAATAATTCATGAATATAAATACCATCTTAAGATTCATTTCTTGAAAGAAATTATGAATCTGTCCATGAATCTGTCCAAAGTTATCATAAACCTTGACAAGGGGTCGAATCCATACTGGTAATTGAGCAATAGTAGGGGGAGCGGCAAATCTATCGAAAATTTAATGAATTAGTAACTTGATTCACACACATAAATTGGACTTTACATCTAAATGGATTTTTAGATACCTTTCATCACACAAAAGTATAGCCCCAAAATCTTTATGATGGCGTATCACTCTTCCCAAAGCTATATTTAATCGATAAAGTTGAGTATAATAAATTCAACGCGTGTAATTCATTTTTTTTTTGTTAATAAGACCTTGATTGACAGCTCGAGTAGCTTGTTGTTTGTACCAGTCGTCTCCAGAAATGCACTAATAAAATCCGTGACAAAGATAGCTTTCGTGATCCATATTGGATTTGTGTATCTTCGATAGATAGGTAAAATTTTCATACCATTGATTTATTAAGACTCTGTTTACGCGCGCCGTCTAAATATTCGCGCTTTAGGGTAACCTAAATTACAATATTGTATTCAAAATTAGTGATGCTTTACAAATTTGCTTTCTCACCAAAAAAAAATTAGATTACTTTTGGATCACGAAATGGTGGATATGGAATGCCAGTGATGATAACCGCTCTGCCTTTGGCGTCCGTAAAGTCAATGCCTTCTGATACTTTACCACGACAGACGGCAAAGAAAATAGACCCTCGTCCTCGTTCCAAAATTTTCTTGTCAAAACGTGCCATTGTCTAACGATTAGAAAAGATATTCGATTCAACAATTTATTCTTTCAGAAAAAATTGGATGCATCTTTAGCATTTACATCGATAAACTCTTGTTTATTTTTTGATTCGATGACCGGTTCCTTATTTTGTGTTAGAATATCCCAAAGACGTGGATTATTTCCTGGTGTCTAAAATATAATGTAAATAGTAAAAACTAATATAAATGATGAATAGTATAAAGAATTAATTCAAATAATGAAGAATTAACCTTACCGGACGCTGCCAATTTTTAATACAATCGTTCATTACCCCATAAGAAGGAAAGAAAACAATCAGACCATCAGGAATAAACCGACTAAAATTGACTAAACCAAAAATAAATTTTCCATTATCGTAATACTTTAATCAATTAAACGGAGCATAAGATAGACAGTACCTATTGTCCTTCCTAATTCTTGTTGATAATTTGCATTGTTTCGTGAATTATAGCTTGAATTTAACGCGATTCCGGTTGGTCCTTTCTTTATAACTCCAACTAATGCTTGATCTGAGGATATAACGTGAGGTCCTTCGAATTGTACCTTAAAATCGCTAATAAAAATGACAACCTATAATTTAACTCAGTGAGCCACCACTAAAATTCGTAAGGTTGATTTAATAAATTTACTTACACCTGCAGTTCTGTTGCAAAGGAAGGTAACGGTGCTAATGTTCCACTAGTAAGAATAATAGACCGACAATTTCCACCCGTCAAATCCCTCATTGCTAGACCCGGGCTAAAACACCAAAAGCTCAATGTTCTTTCTAAATTAACAATAAAAGTCTTTAAAGTTAGAATTGTTATTTGGCAGTGAAATAATGATCTCGGGAAATTTACTTTGTTCTTGTGTCTTTTTTAGGTATGAACTTTTGCCAGATGATAACGAAGATGGTAATGAAGATGATGCTGCTTGCTCACGAGATATGTGTACCTATAAGACCACAAATAAAAAGAATCTTAGTTGAACCTTAAAATAAAAAAAATAATAATAACGTACTCTGTAGTATTTTGCATTATTCGTCCTCTCAGTCTTATCATTGCCCAAGGTATCACCGAACATGATTTTTAAAGAAAACAGTAGATGATGCGTTGCATCTCGACTGTTGCGTTTCTTGTCAAAATCATCTGAATGGTTATAAGTTAATATTCCATAGGAAAGAAGCCACCGGTACATGACCTATAAGGCATAATATTAAATGACCTGTCATAAGAATTTCATTTGCAGCCTCCATGATATTGCGCACATGGTCAAAAGTTCCAGAATCTAAATTCGCCTAAAAATTATATTGATTTACTTTTTAACTTTATTGTTTTGACCGCTATTTTAAAAAAATATAAATCCGAAAATTACCTTTCCAAATAATTCATATATCCATTCCCCAGGTTTATTGATTTCAATGGACGAATAGGGAAAAACCACATTATTGATTTCTCTTAAAAGCTTTTCAAGAATCTCTTTTAACGTAAAATTAAAACGTAGATTTACGTTAGAAACTTGAGAAAAAATTCCAAATACCAAACAAGATAAATGCCTCTCAAGAGAATATAATCTTCCTCGGTAATATCGCTAGTATGTAGTGGTGACCGAGCCTTTTCAGCACAGTAGCGAGCCTCAGATATACAAGCCTGTAAATCATCTGAAGTGATCTCAAATGAGGTTGCTTCACTGCAACTGCTTTCCTGTGACATAAATTAAGTTTTTTTCTTTACTTCAATCAATTGCATTTTTGATGTACATACACTTTGTACGTTATGATAGAATAATTTACAAGATTATGCGCTTCGTCAAATATCAAAATAGCATTGTCCAAATTAAGATTCTGAGCTTTACGTGAACTGGCATCGATTAGATAATTGTATGGAAGGAAAATGATGTCGGCATTATTTTGATTTTCTCGGGAAAGAAAATAAGGACATGCTCTGCAAGAATAATTGTCATTAATCTCTTGGAATTTAATTCAGAAAATGCGAAAAAGCCGTAATAGCAGAACTTACACGTTCTTTTTGCCAAATTTAATAAGATCTTCAATGTCCAAAACTTCACCATCAAAATCTGGTAGAATTTTGGCAGCTTTAAATATACACAAAGTTAATCAATAACACGAACTCATAAAACATTTTGGTGAAGAAATTAGTATTAGATAGAAAACTGTTTCTCACTATCAACTCCTTGTATGTATTGACACCGTTTTTTCTTAATCTTGTCACGACACACAGCAGTTCGTGCGGCATTAGATTTAATTTTATTTACTGTAGGATGGATGCATAATTGTTCTCGTGATCCAAGTACACATATTCTTGGACTGTTGTATGCACCAAAAATAATCAGCAATATTAAAATCAAGTTAAAATTAAAAACTAATACGATTGAATGTTCTGCAAAAGATTACGTGCCTATAGGCTGTGGTCTTTAACTCGTTAATAGCTTGAGATAATTGAGAATGTGTTCGGGAAGCATAATATATTATTGGTGGTGGCCGCGAATAATTTTCTTTCGTAATAAAGAAAAATGTTGTTAGATATCAAAAAAGCGGGAGGCGACAAAACTTTGAATATATCAATCATGTCACTCACCTGAATTTGGCAAAGTAGAAACTGCAGCATTCAAATTGCTCAGCAATTCTTTATTAAATTTATCGCTTTCTTTATTTTCTCTTGCGTGATACTCAAACTGTCGACGTGCCATATAGGCTTCTCGCCAAGCAAGAGTGGCACATAGTAGACATAACGTCTTCCCAGTCCCAGTTGGACTTTCAAGCAGCGCATTTGTATTTGACTGTAAACTGGTAATAAGTTTTTCCATTAGAGTTCGTTGACAACTATAGGCGTCGTAAGGAAACAACACTTTGAGTCCTTTGATATTGTATTCCGGCATTTTGATCTTTGATTGAAGAAAATCGTAAATGATAAAATTGGTGGAAGAACAAACACGCGTCGTTAAACGTCGTAAAGCGCGACTTTTACATTTTTATTATCTAATTCATTGGCTAGAATCCACTTGTGCTACTTTGGCAATGACTCAAAAGTCGTGACTTTGAGTAGTTGTTCATACAATTATTTGCTATGAATCTCTATAATTTTTTGTTGATATTTATTTTTGTTGGAGATATAATAGCATATACAACTTTCTCCGAAGAGAAACTACTTGCACTAATCGACCTTGATACTCCAAACAACACATACAACGAGTTTCTTAAACCTTTACTGGTGAAAAGAGTTCCTGGGACTGAAGAGCACGTAAAGGTGCAAGAGTTTATAGTCAATCATTTCATAAAACTAGACTGGCATGTAGAAAGAGACAACTTTACAAGCGTTACTCCAATTGGGGAGAAATCATTCAGCAACATTATCGTGACAAAAGACATTACCGCAAATAAAAGACTTGTACTAGCAGCTCACTACGATTCAAAATATTTTGAACCACCAAATGATAATTTTATTGGTGCGACGGACTCTGCTTTTCCGTGTGCTTTACTTTTAGATCTAGCCTATAGTTTGAATGATTTATTAAGTGATCAGGCAAAGATGGTTACATTACAAATTATTTTTTTCGACGGTGAAGAGGCTTTCCGAGATTGGACTGATACGGATTCTTTGTATGGATCACGGTAAGCGTGACTTATTGGTATTGTCACAAAAGAGATGAGATTTGCAGCACATATACCCAATTAATGTCTACAATGTCTACAACATCAATGAATGCTTATTGTTGCCTTTTTTCGTTCTTTCTTTTTTACTTTCTATCGGATTTTATTTGAAAACGCAATTCATTCACTTTGATTGTGCATGTGAACGATGGTTAATTTATGAGGGAAAAATGTCCATGTTATTGATCAGATTTTATTCTGGAACATGCATATGTACAATGATGATTTTATGGGGGGCAGGAACAGGAATATTCAATTCCATAATATTAATTACCTTTGTCAATTTAAACATCAGACACTTATCGAGAAAATGGGAAGAGACATTTATCACGAGGACAGACTATCATCAACATCCATCCACCTCATTATTAGACGGAATCGAAGCGCTAGTACTATTAGATCTTCTCGGCGCAAAAGACCCCAAAATAACAAACTACTTCCCCACCACATCTTGGCTCTACAAAAATATAGCGTTGATCGAAGAACAATTATGGAAGCAATCGTTATTGCACGAGAATGAGGATGATTTGGATAAGGACTTTATTTTTGATTCGTCTCAGGGTAATCTGGATGTTTTTCAGAATATTATTTCCGATGATCATGTACCCTTTATGACTAAAGGGGTTCCGATCGTTCATGTCATTACTGCACCGTTTCCGTCGGTGTGGCATAAATTAGATGTGAGTTTTTTTTTTTAATTTTCGTATACTTAATTTCATTTTTTTGCCAAAAAAAGAACTGATTTGACTTTTCTCTTACTTAAAATTGCGGAATTCCATATAAAGGATAATGAAAAGGCGCTTGATCCTGATGTAATGTACAACTTGAATTTAATTTTTCGAATCTTTGTCGCCGAGTATTTCGACCTCGACCCGTTAAGCGCGAAAAACAATGTCACCAAAGATGTTTAATCTCTCGAAAGAGAGACATGATGTCTTCAGCCTTCTGCTGATGCTGCCTGCTTTTACGCTATTGCGATCTTGACTTTTCCTTTTTTATTGATGCATATGTAGATAAAATTAAAGCATTATTGATACGGTATATTCCGTTTGATCTGCAAGATATTGTTAATTTTAAAGTTTAGGATTTCATCATTGCACAAATACAAAAACATGCATACATACACATACCCAAATATAATATGATAACCGAAAAATACTCGTGCCGGGAAATATCAGTGACTTTATAATAACGTGAGTCAGTTGATTGAACGATGGTGTAAATGATACTGGTTCACGTGAGTAAGTTGATTGAGCGATTGAATGAATAATAACATTTGTAAGTTGATTGAACGATTGGTGTAAATGATACTTGTTCACGTGAGTAAGTTGATTGAGCGATTTAATAACAGTATCGGTACTTGGTGTAAAAATACTCGTCCATGTGAGGTAAATAGACGGCACCAAAGATTTGTAATAAAGGACAATTGTTCACGTAATAACACCACAGAGAACGTATGATTTACTGCACGAGCAGATATCGGTATACGTACAGAACACGGTACATGTGTGCCGCATAATCAATCCAATCCAATCGAATCGAATCACCCAGTCAATACATTGACCGTCAATCAGTCAAAGTGGGAATGCCTCAAATAGTGTACAGGAATCGTTGATGCATCAGTCGGTCAATAAATCGAATGAATGAACCTAAAGTGGAACCGTTGATGCATCATATCGATATGAATCTAAAGTGGAATTCTTCAAATAGTTTTACGCAGGAACCGTTGATGCATCGACATAAAGATTTCTTTATTTGAAATAGTGAGGGAAAGTAGAGTGCCAAGAACGGTATACAATAGAAAATTACATGTAAATGAAATCATACAATAACGATAAGTAACATAACTTCACTACGCCTTTACTAATCTGTACGTAAGATTTGTTTTTAATTTCTTTTTCATTGTAAGTAGTGTATATACGGTTCATATTGTTGTGTTCACTGTGGGACTAGACTTACGTTTTCATTTATCGTTATGATAAAAAATTGTGGGGAATATATAAAATCGCTTAAATATTCAATTGTAAGTGCAATTACTTCCCGTATCTTTTTATTAATTAATTTTTTTTTGCCTACAATGTTGTCAAATAGTAATAACAATGCCAACAATAGTAATAGTAGTTTTCCAATTACCCCTCCTTCCTCGTCTCCTATCTCTTATCCTACTTTTCTAGTAGATAAGCCACCTCCACAACAACTGCAACCTCTACCACACCATAGGAGAACATTATCAACAACAACTACACAATCAAGAAAAACACTACGTTCAAATTCAAATTCAAATCGACGAACGCGTTCCGCCACAACTTTTATAACAGGAACCTCGCATGAGCTCTTTTGGGATATAGTTGGTCGAGATAACTATACGACTTCACTGAATAATTCACCAGTTCTCTGCAACACAATTTCCCCACCTGTTGACGAAGATTTTTTCAGTTTGGCTTTCTCAAAGAAACTCAGTTCGCTTACGTGGCGACCTAAAAAATCGCTTCCGAATACAATACCTACAATGGCTCCGAAGGCCAATAACGTTGAACCTATAAATTTAATCACGACCACTATTAAATCTCGTTCTTCATCATTGGAATCACCGATTGTTGAGAGTACTTTATTTGGCGACTGGGAAGATAGCAGTAATAGTAATAGCAGTAATAATTCTCAATCAACACCACCTCAAGAAGTTCCTGAATTACTAGCATCAAAAGAAAAAATGCCGTCAGTCCAGTTAGTTGGCAGAAAATCCGATACAGATCCGGTACTGGACATTAATATCGCAGAACAAGTAAGATTTTCTGTTGATTTTTTTTTTTCCGTGTAATCCTGTTTGTACCACCTAATGAAAAAATGATACCATTTGATCTTTTCATTATAAGATACGGCAACAATTACCGCGCCGCTTACGACTAGAGCCCACATGGACTTTGCTATATAGTATCGACCAGAATGGAACTAGTATGACCACCATGTACAATAATGTAAAAGATAAGGGTCCTTTAGTGTTGGTTTTGAAAGACGAAAATGATCAGGTATTATCTTATTTTCGAATATTTTATATAATTGTTAGTATTTTTGCTTATGATAAGCTATTATTATATTTCAAGGTATTTGGAGCATTTACCAGCGAGTCTTTAAAACCACAGCATTCCTATTACGGAAATGGAGAATGGTAATTATTATTGTTGATCTATTTATATTGGACGAATTCGAAATTTTTTATATTTTTTATGCTTTTTTCTCAAGTTTTCTGTGGAAGTGTAAATACGAAGATGACGAAAAATCATCAACACCCACAGTTGAATTTTATCTATGGTCTGGACGTAACGAATATCTCATCCTTAGTGAACATGATTACATGGCTATCGGTGGAGGGTAAATTCTTATTTTTAATATTATTACTTTCATACATTAATTTCTTGACGCGCGTTAAACAATATTTTGTTTGTATTTTTTAGGGATGGAAGAGTTGGGCTTTGGATAAATTCCGATTTCGAACAGGGACATTCCTCTCCATGTGAGACGTTTGAGAATCAAACACTATCATCGTTTCCGGCGTTTGATTGTCTTGGATTGGAAATTTGGGGGTTTAAAAATTGAGAGGGAGCTTGAGAGTTTGAGAGGGCACACACACACACAGGTCGCTCACAAATCACTCGCACAAGATCAAAAATTATAATTTTTGAATCTATCATTATTATTACTATTACTAGTATCTTTTCGCCCTGTTAAATCTCAATGAACAATTTATTTGGGAAGAACCTAACCGTTATTTATCTCCAATTTTTGGTATATATATTTTTTCCTTTTGTGGTTGATTTCTTTTTACTATGTTTGTATGTATATTTATAGAGGCTGATGTCGTTTTTTAATCTATATTTTAATATTATTGGACTTTAGCGACAATCCTTTAAAAAAAGGACAAAAGTATATATGTACATGTACAAACACGAGATTCTCTCATCCCCTTTTTTTTCATAACTCAAAATATTTATACATATAACTTTTTATATGTATAATCTAAGTTATCATTACAGACAATTAAAAATATCCAATTACTCTTGTCGAGAACGTTATTTTATGAGTTGTTTTTACACGTGTCTGTTTCGTTGGTGAAAAGTTTTTCGTCATCGTCAGTTTACTGCTTGATAGGCCGAAGATCTTATGCTAAGCCGAATATACAAGGCAAACCCGTTAAAACGAAATCATTCTAAGCCGAAAATGTTGATAAACCGATCCATTGTGTAATGATAATATATTACCATGAGGTTTTTTGCCGAAATTGGCTAAACTAATTTGGGATTTAAAAGGTAATACTCCTGATCATCATCCAGTCCCACCAGGAAAATTTTGCTAATGGTTGATTTTAAGGTTAGTGTTAAGGGTCAGTGAAGATCAAACTGTATATAAAATTGCCTTCCCAATATTGGTTTAGTCGTATCACGTTTTATCGGATGACACAATAAATAAGTTATTAACTTTCTTCGTATTTGATTATACGAAATTGGAATTTGTGATGCATTTGTGATACATTTTGAATTCAATAATAATTTTTTAAGAATGTGATTATAGAAGGATTTTATTATAAGCTTTCTTAAAGTTACATATAATAATATTTATAATATTTTGGGATTGGAATTTATATTTTTGTTATATTTTAAAATATATTTCAAATTTCAAATATATTTCAAAATACAATCAAATTTTTCTATAATTATTATTATTATAGATATATTATATAAAAATTATTGTAATTAAAGAACCAGCTATAATAAAATTATAAATTTTATAATTTATTTTAATTATAATTAAATTTTTTTGTAATTATTTTTGTTATTTAATGATCAACAAAAATTATGAAATTACACAAGCAATTTTATTAATAAATCTAGTAAAAATTAAAATTTTTGTTTTATATAAAAGTTTTTAATTTCATTAATAAATATTTTTTATTTTTATATCAAATAAAGATCATAATTTATATTTTAATACATATATATTTTTTAGATTTAATCTGACAAAGTTATTTTAATTGCAAAATTATTGCAAAAATTTTTATAATTACTTTTACATTTTAAATATAAAAATTTTTATAATAACTTTGTAATTAGAACAATTTTGTCAGATTAAATCTAAAAATCCAGAAAAAATACATATGTATTAAAATATAATTATGATCTTTATTTTAATATAAAAATAAAAAATATTTATTAATAGTTCCATTCAATAAGAGAAGTTCTAGAAATTAGTTAATTTTTAGAATGAATGATAAGTATCAAGCAGAGATCAAATCTCTAATATCATGTAATTAAATATCTCATAATGATTAAACAATTATTAACCTTATAATAATTATTCAATTATAAATATATTTTAATAAATGTATTAGTAATAGTGATAAATATATAAATATAATAAAAATATTAATAATTTCTTACTCTGTCTTTATTTTATCTTTATTATAAATATTTTTTCTTATATTATTTATTTATTTCTTTTTCTTTTTTTATTTTATACAAAATTTTTCTTTATATTATCTAATATATTTGAATCTAATTTGAAAGCTAAATATTATATGTTCTGAATTTGGATAATTTATCAAGATTAACAAGTATATATTATAAAAAAAACAGCATATAAAAATATATATATAACTAATTATAATTGTATAATTTTTAATAAAATAATAGCAAATATATTTTTTGCTTATATCTTAATTAAAAAATTTTTTAAGCATATTAGCATAATAATATTTTGCAGAATTTTATGTTAAATGTGATAACTTGAAATTTTTAATATTTATATAGGAATAAAAAAGTATTTAAAAATATTTTTAATAAGAAATTTTGAAGAAAATTTTATGAAAATATATTTTATAAAATTTTTTTCAAAATTTCTTATTAAAAATATTTTTAAATACTTTTTTATTCCTATATAAATATTAAAAATTTCAAGTTATCACATTTAACATAAAATTCTGCAAAATATTATTATGCTAATATGCTTAAAAAATTTTTTAATTAAAATATAAACAAAAAACACATTTGTTATTAATTTCATCAAAAATTATAATCTATATATAGTAAGATTAGAGAGAGATGGAGAAGATGCTAATAACAAAAAAAATCAGCTGATTTCTGGCACTTTTCTAAATTTTGATACTTTTGTATTATCATTATATTTAGGATTTCAAAATTAAATTTGAATTCAATTCAGTTTGAACTGAAAAAAATTAACAAATTAAATTAAAAGAACAAATTAAAGTTGTCTTTTATCTTAATTAGCAACATTACTTTATCGATTTGGATTACAAAATAAAATTTTGAGTGATTTGCAAGAATCTATATAATATGCTTGTTGTAAATTGTGCTATAGAATTTGAATTGTCAAGAACACCCGCCCAACCACAAAATAAGTTTTGGTAATCCACACAAAAATGAGTTTAGGAAAGTAATGTTAATCGATAGCGATAGGGATAGTGTCTTTTGAAATCCCAATCTGGCCATAAAAATTCACCCTGTAATCGATGTTTACAATATGGATAACGATTTTTAGATTTGGTTAAATCGGTTGTGGTAAAAATGCCCATTGTCGATCCAAATTAATAGAAACTTTTCTGTCGCATTTATAAAAAAATTAGTGGATTGTTTTGAAAGAAAAATAAACGGGTAAACATTAACAAAGAATTGCAACAATAATTATACATGGACTCACATCGGTGTCATCATTGTGGTAGTATAGGACACAAGAAGTTTGATTGCACTGAGAGATGTCGCGTTGGTTGTAAATGGTGTGAAAATCCACCTGTTCGCAGACCTCCTGCTTCTAGTAAAATGAATTCAGATACGCTCTTACGTCAAACTAATATTAATAACAATAATAATAACGCACGAGGCTCTTTGTCAGGCATGTATTAATGTCATTTTCTCGTTTGTTTTTTGTTAAAATGCTTGAAAACTCAAGTTAGAGAGGCTAATATCAGAAGTACACTTACGATAGATCAACAAAATGTTATGCAATTGGGACCGAATAATTTACCACAACTTGGATCCAATACAATTAAATTAGTTCCTAGTAATATTGGAGTCGGAACAAATGGTGGTGTGCATCCAGTAGGAGGAGCTTCATCATCAGGAGGAACAGGACAAAATGTTGGATCTTTTGGTCAAAACACGGCTATTTCTACTATACACTTGGGAACAACGACAGCGAATCTTTCCATTCTTAAGCCTCAGAATATCGGTTCTTTAGTTCCTACAATTTTAAACCAGGCTACTATGCAACCACTTGTTGCCAAATCAATTGCCACAACCTGGCCTACTACACAACAATCATCACAGCCACAGCAGCAGCAAGTCTCTATAATTCCTTTTAATTTACAGCAGTCAGCATCTATAGTTACAAGTGGACAGCCGCATAATCAATTTCCACAATCGCAGATTCAATTGTTAAATGGTGGAAATTCAGGATATCAATCTTTATCTACGTCAAACTTACCTCCACAGTTTAATAATTGGAAGAAGAAGAAGAATAATAATAATAGTAGTAATAATAATAATAATAATAATAATAATAATAATAATAATAATAATACTACCACTACTACAACTACTACTACTAATAATAGTAATAGTAAGGATGATGATAGTAATAGTAATAGGCTCCTAGCTTTCACTGGAAATCAAATGGATCAATCACAAGTCCAACGTTTACTTATTCAATCTGGATTCGAGTTTAAGCATAAGATTATTAATAGTAATAGTAATATTAATAATACTAATAATATTAACAATGGTCATAGCAGTAATAACTCTAGTAATAATAGCAAGTTGTTAATGTTCTCACAGAATCAGGTTTCATTGGACCAATCAAAAGAAAAAATATCGGCTTCCTTAACATATCCTCCACAACCGAGTCAACAGATAATTGGTGTCAATAATAATCATGATATTAATAATTTTGCTCTAGAAAACAATACGTTGGAATTGGAGACTCAAAGAAAAAATGAATCCTCTCAGGAAGGGCCCACGTTATCAGCTGCTGCTTTTTCAATAAATAAGGAACAAGAATCAAATGGCATTATAGCTGAAAAACAAGGAGTTCAAGAGTCTAAAGAGTTAAAGTCTATTAGAGAAAGAAAACCTGGCGAGACAAATTTAGAAATTATTAGTAAGCTTCAATTGGTGAAGAACAAGTTAAAATTTAGGGCAAAAAGCAATGAAAACTCTTCGATTGATTCGAAAATAGTAACTGATACTACTGCTACTGCTACTGCTGCTGCTGCTGCTGCTGCTGCTGCTGCTGCTGCTGCTGCTGCTGCTTCTACTACTAAGTCTACTACTTCTGATCATAGTGAGAATACAGAAAGCATGGAAAAGGCAAGTGATTTGTTAAATGAGATAAAACAAGAACACATAAAGAATATTGAAAAGAGTAATACTGCTGCTACTTCTACTGCTACTTCTGGGGTTACTGCTACTACTGGTGTGACTACTTTTACTGGTACTGGTACTACTAATAATACGTCTACTACTTCTGCTACTTCTATTACACAAGAAGAAGAAAAGGAGGACAAAAAGTTATTAAATATCAAGACAGAGGAGGAATCATCTATTATTGAAACACAACAGTTGAATCATAATGATAACAACATAGTTAGTAATAGTAATAGTAATAATACTCTTATATCACAAGAGAGTGAGTCTTTGCCCTCTAATGCTATGGCAATAGACGAGTCATCAACATTTAATAATCATCGATTCAAGGGTAGACATAGACAAAGAGCTATGATGAATAATAATAGTGGTAGTAATAATCATAATCATAATTATAATCATCATAATCATAATCATAATAACAATAATAATAATAATAATAACAATAATAATAATAATAATAATAATAATAATAATAATAATAATAATAATAATAATAATAATTTAAATAATAATAATCGTACAATGGTCTATTCGCGGCAAAATCCAAATTCATTTCAATTATTTAATAATGGGAATAATGAGTATCGTCAGATTCCGGAATTTATAAAAAGTGATAGAGATCGGCAGCCTCTTGAATTTGAACGACCACTTAGAAGTAGATCAGCAAGTCCAAGGCGAGGAGATGCTCATGAATATATTCGCAATTTTCCAGAATACGTTAGAAATGAATCTCCAGGGAAAAATTATAATAGATCTGCAATAGACTATGATCATCGTTATAATTCGCGTTACTCTACTGGGCATGAATTTCGAGATAAATATTATCCACGTGTTGGATCATCAACCACAACACCAGCAGTACCAGGAGCAGTCACTGAAGATAAATTAGAAAAATATTATTCACGTTCTATGTCAGTTGCACCCTATGAAGACTATTATTCTAATAATAGATATACTGAGAAATATGATGAGCGAGGAGTAGGAGGACATTATCGAGATTATGAAAGGGAGCTTCCAGTTGCTCGTGGACGATCTCGTTCACCCACTTTTTATCATACTCGTCCCGCTTATGAAGATCATCATACTCGTAGATTTAATGGATCATCATCATCATCTCCTTGGTATCCTCACAATAATAATACATATGAGCGTGACTATCAATTATCTAGGACAGATGCTTATTATGACTTGACAAGGGAAGATCGTTATGATGCGCATCGAGAACGAGTTTATTCATTACGCCCGGAAGCTGAAAGAGGAGGATACATGGAAAGAGAATTTTCTCGATCTGCTGTCGAGTTTGAATATACTCCGCGTAGAAGGCCACTTGAACGTTGGTAATTTGATTTTATATATTGTTGTTGTTTTGTTGTTCAAGTTTGGTTACTTTTAATCAATCTTTTTTTACTTCGCATTCATTTTTGTTAAAAAAAGATGACAATTGGAAAGAATAATGTTTAATAGGACGAATATAGTAATTGGATGATGATGATTCTTCTAAAGATAATCAATCAATGGCAACATCATTAACAATTTCCAACACCATCACAACAAAAAAATGAGAATTCGAAGAGGACTCTTTGCTGGGATTTTTTTTTAATTGGAGACTATAATAATTAAACATATTTCGAACTATTTATATTTATTATTGTTGTATGGTTTTTTTTTATAAAAAATTTAATTGCAATTTTTATTGACTTATTAATAATTTAGTAGTTATAAATTTTGGAAAATTGAGTCAAATATAAAATTAGTTTATGTGAAGTAATAATACATGAATTAATTAGAAATAAAATTGTTAATAATTTATATAAATACACTAATTCAATATATTAAAAATGAATTAATCTTGCTATTTTATTTTGTAATTAATTTAATTTTAATTTTTGTTTTATAAAATAAGATAACTTAAATACTCTTATTGTTATACAATATATTATTTTATAAGTTTATTAAATTAATGAAAATTTATTAACTACAAATTTGAAATGACAAAAAAATTATAATAATTATTAATAATAAATTTTTACTAATTTATATTTGAATTATATTTTATAAATTAAAAAAGATTAGAAAAATCAGTTTTTTTCCCTAAAAATATTTGATTTTTTTGAGCAATTATTTTGGAATTTATTAATTAATTTAATAAATTTTTAATTTAGTTTCAAATTTTTTAGTTTTTTTAAAGAATTTAGTAGATTTCTGGATTTTTTTAATATATTTTAAATTATTTTCAGAATTAAAAACTTTATTTCTTTAATTATAATATAATATATTTGCTTATTAATTTTTAATTTATATAAATTCTTTAAAATATTATTTTATTAATAAAAAATTAAAATTTTTATTTTTAATTTATATAAAAATTTTTAATTTTATTAATAAAAATTTTTAATTTTATATCAAAACTAAAAATAATACTATTAGAATTCATAATTTTATAATTTTAATTTTATATTACTATTAGATAGTTCATAGTTAGTTCTAGTTGTCATTATCAAAAAGAAAAATGAAAATATTACTTATATGTTGATTACTAATAATTGAATAATATTACCAAAAAAGATAAATATCCGCTATCTTATATTGATGAATTTCTAAATGTATTTCAAAATGCTAAATACTTTTCAACTATTAATCTCACTATCAGTTACTGGCAAGTTAAAATAAAATCAAAAGATAGAGCTAAAACTGCATTTATTATCAAGCAAAATCTATTTGAGTTTAATGTCATATTATTTGATATAATCAATGTATCTGTCACTTTTTAATAACTTATAAATATCATATTTAGAGAATATATTGTTGTATAATGATCTTTCATTATAATATTTTATTATTGAATTTAAGGATGATTGCCGAAATGACGTCATCTAATTAAATAATTTGCCGAAATTAACTTGCCGAAATTAAATCTGAAATTATTATGACT